AGGCATTAAACAGCTTCTTTTCTTCTGTGTTCACAAGAGAGAACGCGATTAACCTTCTTGCTTTTGAGGACAGATGGTTTGACACAGCACTGACCCACATTATGTTCACAGAAGAGGGTATTAGAAATAAAAAGTCAAAGTTAAAGGTCCATAAGAGTCCCGGCCCTGACATGGTGCATCCTAGTGCTAAGAGAGTTGAGCAACGAGCTTGCCGAGCCCCTGAAGACCCTGTTCTGTAAATGCCTGGATGAACAAAAGGTCCCCATTGATTGGAAAATGGCTTATGTGAGTCCTATCTTTAAGAAGGGTGATCGTCACTTCATGAATAACTTTAGACCGGTGAGCCTGACCAGTATAATATGTAAAGTACTTGAGGGTATTATCAGAGATGCCACGATGGAACATCTACTAGGAAACAACCTTGTAATGGATTGCCAACACGGTTTTATGCCGGGGCGCTCCTGCTTAACACAATTGCTCAAGGTATTCGATATTTTTACCCACATTCTGGAACGGGGTGGTAATATCGACAATGTATACCTAGATTTTGCCAAGGCTTTCGACAGTGTACCCCACAAAAGGCTGAAAATCAAACTGGAAAGGTACGGAATTGGGGGAAGTGTCCGAGAGTGGACAGAAGACTTTCTGCATGACCGCAAGCAGTGTGTGGTGATTAATGGCACGAAATCATCATCTGTACCTGTCACAAGCGGGGTACCGCAGGGAAGTGTATTGGGCCTGCTGTTGTTGGTTTGCTTTATAAATGACATACTTGGCATTGTACACTCCTCCATACAAATGTTTGCCAATGATGCCAAGTAATTTCGGGAAATCAAGAACCATACGGACTGTGAAGAGCTGCAGAAGGATCTCTGTGAGCTCAAAGAATGGTCGAGGAAATGGCTGCTAAGATTCAATGTCATGAAGTGTAAGAGGATGCACCTGTGGCGTACCAAAGGTAAGGAGGCGTATCATACGCCCCAACGGGATGAAGAAACTGCACTATTTGAGACTGAATGTGAGAAAGACCTAGGTGTGTATGTTGACAATGAGCTGAAGTTCTCGGACCATTGCGAGAAGAAGGTAAATCGGGCAAATAAATTATTAGGTCTTATAAGAAGGTCGTTCAGATATCTAGACGGTCCGTCCCTCGTAACGATTTTCAAGAGTGAAGTGCTTCCCCATCTGGAGTGCTTTCACCCCGTCTGGTCCCAGAGTGTCCTTACTTGGAGCTGGAGGATGCTTGCCCCACAAGGGGTCACAGCTCAAGATTGAAGAAGCCGCAGGTCCAGAGAACCGTGAGGGCAAATTTTTCGGAGTGAGAGTTGTGAACTCTTGGAACAATCTACCAGAAAGTGTTGTGATGGCACCGACTGTAAGCTCTTTCAAGACCAGACTTGACCAACACTAGAGCAGGTAAGGTACATTCAGGAGCCGGTGCATGCCCAGTACTTACCAACAGTGCGTAACAGAGACGTGAGTGATTGCCCAAGCGGCTAACGAGCCGATCAGTGGTGAAGAGGATAAAAGTAAAAAAAGTTATTATTCATCTTGTGTACAGTGTATCTTATCTATTTTTATGCTTGCAGGAATTGTATTGTTGTGTTTGATATGAGGCCTACTGGCCTCCGTAACACATTTGCTTTGATGTGTTTATACCATATTCGTGTAAACGTTTATAAAATCCAGTTGCATTGCACGAATATACTGTAACTGCATTGTTAAACAATTTATCAACAAATATTACAAGTAACTGCCTTAGTAGTTAAAACTTAAAGATATTTTAATATTTTGAAAGGTGTCAGTAAGTGAAGAGGTTCCCATAATATGACTAGAGTAAACAGTGACCTTAGGCTGAGTTCAGTAACAGTAACCCCTCTGGAAAAATGCTACAGCTAGGTAAACCTTGTTTGTTAGTGCTGGATTTTAAATTGTAACCCAGTACTGAGTAACTAGGGCCTAATGGTGAAAACACCGACATTAGCCTAAGCTCAATAACAGTTGCCCTTAAAAAAAAAAATACATAGTAGGAAAACTTAAAAAGTAAATGTTGGCAAGTTAAGCCAACACTGAGGACGTAGCTTTCAAATCACAGTTTAGACTAGGTAAACAGGTTCAGTTGTAATAATTGAGGTCATCTTATACGGCAGGTAGACTCGCAATACAGTGACCCCTCGTTTAACGAACACCTCGGTTAACGTAATTTCGATTAACGAACTGCCTTCCATAAGGATCTTCAATTCGGTAAACGAAAAAAAATTCGGTTAACGAAGTTCTTACGAACCGACCTCAACATGTTTTCGCTTGCACTGACCGGGCAACCAGCTTTAGTAACAGTCCGCCAATACATTAATCGGTTCTAGGGCTTAAATTCCTTACTATTTTAGTAAATATCAAGAAGTTTATACTATTCAATAATTTTAAAAGTTTAATATTCAATTTTTTAGTCATTTTAACAATTATTGAACATAATTGAAGGTAAAGTGACTAGTTTAATGTGCGGCATCCAGCCTCTTAACACAGCAAACAGGAGTTAGTCTCTCTCTGTTTTCACTGGAGGTAACATCTTGCTTGAGACTCTCTTCAACTAAACGCTTTTTTTCTGTGTTTCCAAGCAAATTATTGGTCATTTTGAAATATATTTTACATATTGACAATATATAATGCAGTGCAGTGTTGATTTAAAGAAAATAATCTTGAATTACACCAGAGAGCTAAAATTTTATGGGTGAAATGGCGCCATGGGGCGACTTCTCTTCCACCCCAATGCCTTCTCTTCTTCCTTCTCCTCCACCCCCATTCTAAATCCCATCATCATCCAGGAGCCTTCTACATACACACCTCAAAGTAAGTGAACTTTTCTACCATTTTTGTTGAATTTGGGAAATTTTCGGTGAGCTGGAACCAATTACCCAAAAACCCATTGAAACAATGGTTTCGGTTAACGAACTTTTCGGTTAACGAACGACCTTCTGGAATGGATTGAGTTCGTTAACGGAGGGGTCACTGTATATGGTATTTTAGGGAAAAAATTAACCCATCACCAAATAAACTTAAATATTATGAGAATTATGGTGAAATTGCAAAATGTCATTTTAAGATGTTTGCAATACAGGAGGGGGAATTTTCTGCCTTATCCAGCCTCTCTTCCCTGTTCTCCAACACAAATTAACTTCCCATTCCTCATTTTTCTTCTTTTTTATAGTTTTATGTATTTTCTTTATTTCTAAGTCACATTAGAACATTACAGTACAGTATTATGTTTCATTATTTGAGATACTTAAGGAGGCATTTGGTACAGGGTTTGGCATACACTAGCTCAGTACCTCAACATTTGTGAGGGATAGGTTCCTAGGAAATCCCCAAATGTAGAATTTCGCGAATAACATTCTTTTATACCCAATCTTTAATATCATAGTGTACCATACATTAGGGATCCCCCAAAAATTTAATTAGAAGAATACTTTATTTAAACCCTCTAAATACTACACTTGTATGTTGTTACTTTATACAGTTGTATTATGTGTCAATCAAAAATAAATTAAATGAGAAGCAAGTAAATGTGGTGTCATGTTAGGGAAGTCAACTGGATTGCAACTGTGGCGACGCATTGTCTACTGCCTGCCCCACATGGCCTGTACCGCCTGACACGCAATGCTGTGAATGAAATATGCGTACATACTGAATATTAGGTTTCCTGTAACAAACTTATCACTGGGAAGAATATATACAGTAAATTATGTCAGTCATAAGCATGATATCAACATTATGGGAGCAAAATAATTATCAGTGTTACTTATGTATATAAATTGTACTTTTCTTACCTCATAATGAGCTGCTGTAGAGGCCTAAGTAATGTTACTGAAGATATTAATGCTCTTGCTTTAAAACCTCTGGGCTGGGATCATCCAGAATGTCCAATGAAGGGCTGGCAGGTGTGGAAGCTGTATTGGTGGAGTGAAAGGGAGAGGCAAGCCGTGACAGAGACAGGAGTGGAGGTAGGGTTCGGATCTCAGCATTAAGAACATTGTTATTGGTAACTGGTTGGCTTTCTTTTATAGTTCTTTATAAATTTCTTGATAAGGTTGTAAAACATTCTCAATATTCCACTTCATTTTGATGCTTAATTCCATTGATGGGTCATAGTTGTAAATCATATCTGCAAAATTTTTGGCACTCCTGACTCATGTCCTCAATCCATACACTTAACGCCTTCTACATACCTTTATCATGTATCTGATGTGTAACTTTAGCACTATATGGTGCACTACGAGCAACACTACCTCTAATTTCCTTGCTTTTCATTTTTATGGAACCAACAGTTGATGCACTCAAGCCACTATCAAGTTTATCTAACACTTCAATTTTCTGTGACAGGGTCATGACTTTCTTCACTATCTTTGCACCAGATGCACTACTACCAATTAATGGCTTTTTGGGAGCAATGACAATTATAATTATTGAGAAAATTGCTCTCAAACGAGACTGCTGGGAGATGCAGGAGAACTCTCAGATGAGACTGAGGGACGATGCAGAAGAACTCTCAGATGAGGGATGATGCAGGAAAACTCTCAGATGAGACTGGCGGGAGAGAAGCGCCGCGCAGGATGCAGCATGATGCCGTGACATTACATCATGGAGAACGCCCGCGCGTTTTAAAATAAGCACCTTAACTTTTTATGAGGTTGTTTCGCGGATAATCGAATTCATGAGTTGAACTCGCATATGTTGAGGTACTGGTGTATAGGAAATTTGTTCGGGATAAAGAGGTACCACTGGAATCTAAGAAGCAGTTTGGTATTTAGAGAATTTCAGTAAAGAGGTAATACCATTTTAAGAAAATTTCATGAATTAAAAATTATTCCTGCATCATTTTCTTTCATATGCAAACTTTGGGTACCAACTAAAAATCATATCAAGACAAAAAAAGGCTGAGTTTAAAAAATAAAGAAGCATTTAGAAGTTTTTGGATTACAGTAATATGCTCAGCTGAAACTTACGGGTTTTAATATGTTGCTTTGAAATGTAATTCTCTAATTTGCGACGAAGGATCAACTCAGGCCCATACTTGCCCACTGTTCCATTGTCAACTAGTAGGAAGAATGTGTGATGACTATTCAGAGCAACAAATCTGAAATATCAAAATTTTTATCTCAATACAGGATATAGCCATTGCAACAATTTAAATAAGGTTTGCATAGAGGAAGGCTGAGGTGGTTTGGGCATGTGAACAGGAAGCAGGAACCAATTATGGTCAAGAGATAAAAGAATCTAAATGTGGAGGGGAGGAGAGCCAGAGGTAGGCCAAGAATGACATGGGGAGATGTTGTAAGTAATAATGTCAGTGCAAGCCGTGTATTCCAATGAGTCTCGGGTACTAGTGTTGGTCATGGATTTTCAACATAAAACACCCACTATTGACTACTACATTAACATCATTATATTATTCTAGTCAAGATGGAGGAAGATGATTCACTATAATTACAACAAAGGCCATAAATAATAACTGGCAAACCTCACAGATACTAGGAAGGCAGACCTGCTAACATAATGCAGGAATTACCAGTAGTGACTGGAAATATTCATCCAGTGTGACACATTGTATCAATGAGAAAAGGAGACAATACTTTTCTGGGAGAGTGTACATGTCTGCACACATACACTTACAGTAGACTCCCAATATAACAGACATTCTGACCCATTCACACTAGATTCATATATTACCGACTCAGGTCCATTAAAGTAAAAAATAATGGACCGTTCGTATCCAAATTATCACAAATAATTACAGAAATACCCAAATTAGTCAGACCCTGCATAATGCTGATTTGTTATAGAGGTCTTTGGTCCCTTCCTGAGTTATGTTTTTACTACAACAAAAAATAATAATAAAATAAAATCTCTACGACACAAAACAGAACATTTTGGAATTGCTGAGAGCAGCCACACTTGTTTACAGTCTCTCAGCCAATATAAGCAACAAATCCATGAATGCTTATAGCCAATCAGCGCTCTCCTCCTCGTATAAAAAAAAAATCCCAAAATTTTCAACTTGCCAGTTGACGATGGCAAGTGTTGGTGGTGACTAACACTTGCCATCACCACTAACATTCACCAACACCACAAACATTCACCTACACTCACCATCACCAACATTCACCATCACCAACCACTCACCATTACCAATAACATTCACCAACACCACAAACATTCACCTACACTCACCATCACCAACATTCACCATCACCAACACTCACCAATAACATTCACCAACACCAACTGGTGTTTACAGGATGAGAACGCGGTTAAACTGGGGTAACAGAGTGGCGACCTACAGGCTGGCAAAATAAACAAAGGCGCTCTCCCTGCTCTAGACGTTATTAAAATGTACAGTACTTGTTCGTGGTGGTGATAGTGGTGAGTTTTAGTGGTGATGGCTAATGTTGATGGTCATGGTGAGTGTTGGTGGCAATGGTGAGTGTTGGTGGCGATGGGGAGTGTTGGTGGTGGTAGTGAGTGTTGGTGGTGGTAGGGAGTATTGGTGCTGGTGGTGAGTGTTGGTGGTGGTGGTGATAATGGTGAGTTTTAGTGGTGATGGTTAATGTTGATGGTCATGGTGAGTGTTGGTGGCGATGGTGAGTGTTGGTGGTGGTAGTGAGTGTTGGTGGTGGTAGGGAGTGTTGGTGCTGGTGGTGGTAGTGAGTGTTGCTGCTGGTGGTGATAGTGGTGAGTTTTAGTGGTGATGGTTAATGTTGATGGTCATGGTGAGTGTTGGTGGCGATGGGGAGTGTTGGTGGTGGTAGAGGTGTTGGTGCTGGTGGTGGTGAGTGAGTGTTGCTGCTGGTGGTGATAGTGGTGAGGTTTTAGTGGTGATGGTTATGTTGGTGGTCATGGTGAGGTGTTGGTGGTGATGTGTTGGTGGTGGTGGTGGAGTGTTGGTGTGGTGGTGGTGGTGGTGAGGTGGTGTTGGTGGTGGTGGTGGTGGTGAGTGTTGGTGGTGGTGGTGGGGTGTTGGTGGTGGTGGTGGTGGTGGTGGCAGTGGGTGTTGGTGCTGGTGGTGGTGGTGGTGTTGGGGTGGTGGTGAGTGAGGTGTTGGTGGTGGTGGTGGGGTGTTGGTGGTGGTGGTGGTGCTGGTGTGGTGGCGGGTGTTGGTGCTGGTGGTGGCAGTGGGTGTTGGTGCTGGTGGTGGTGGTGGTGTTGGTGGTGGTGGTGGTGTTGGTGGTGGTGGTGGGTGCTGGTGGTGGTGGCGGGGTGTTGGTGATGGTGGTGGTGGTGAGTGTTGGTGGTGGTAGGTGGTGTTGGTGGTGGTGAGTGGAGTGCTGGTGAGGTGGTGGCAGGTGTTGGTGGCAGTGGTGTGGTGAGGTGTTGGTGGTGGTGGTGGTGGTGGAGTGTTGGTGGGTGGTGGTGGTGGGGTGTTGGTGGTGGTGGTGGTGTTGGTGGTGGTGGTGGTGTTGGGTGGTGGTGGTGAGTGTTGTGCTGGTGGTGGTGGTGGAGTGTTGGTGCTGGTGGTGGTGAGTGAGGTGTTGGTGCTGGTGGTGGTGGTGGAGTGTTGGTGGCTGGTGGTGGTGAGTGTTGGTGCTGGTGGTGGTGAGTGGTGTTGGTGGTGGTGAGTGGTGTTGGTGGTGGTGAGTGAATGCTGGTGGTGGTGGCAGTGTTGGTGCTGGGGTGGTGGCAGTGTTGATGCTGGTGGTGGTGATGAGTGTTGGTGCTGGTGGTGGTGAGTGGTGTTGGTGGTGGTGAGTGGAGGTGTTGGTGGCTGGTGGGTGGTGAGTGGAGTGTTGGTGCTGGTGGTGGTGGTGGTGTTGGTGGTGGTGGTGGAGTGTTGGTGAGGTGGTGGTGGTGCTGGTGGTGGTGGTGAGGTGTTGGTGTGGTGGTGGTGGGTGTTGGTGGTGGTGGTGGTGCTGGTGTGGTGGTGGCAGGTGTGGTGGTGCTGGTGGTGGCGGTGGGGTGTTGGTGCTGGTGGTGGTGTGGTGTTGGTGCTGGTGGTGGTGGTGGTGTTGGTGCTGGTGGTGAGTGTTGGTGGTGGTGGTGAGTGTTGGTGCTGGTGGTGGTAATGGTGTTGGTGCTGGTGGTGGTGGTGAGTGTTGGTGGTGGTGGTGAGTGAGGTGTTGGTGCTGGTGGTGGTGTGAGTAGTGTTGGTGCTGGTGGTGGTAGTGAGTGTTGGTGCTGGTAGTGAGTGTTGGTGCTGGTAGTGAGGTGTGTTGGTGCTGGTGGTGGTAGTGGTGTTGGTGGTGGTGGTGGTGGTAGTGAGTGTTGGTGGTGGTAGTAGTGTTGGTTGCTAGTGAGTGTTGGTGCTGGTAGTGAGGTGTTGGTGCTGGTAGTAGTGTTGGTTGCTGAGTAGTGAGTGTTGGTGCTGGTAGTGAGGTGTTGAGGTGGTGGTGAGTGAGTGTTGGTGCTGTTGAGTGTTGGTGGTGGTAGTGAGTGTTGGTGCTGGTGGTGGTGGTGGGTGCTGGTGGTGGTAAGTGAGTGTTGGTGCTGGTAGTGGAGTGTTGGTGCTGGTGAGTGAGTGTTGGTGCTGGTAGTGAGTGTTGGTGCTGGTAGTGAGTGTTGGTGCGAGTGGTGCTGGTGGTGAGTGTTGGTGCTGGTGGTGAGTGTTGGTAGTGAGTGTTGGTGCTGGTAGTGAGTGTTGGTGCTGGTGGTGGTAGTGAGTGTTGGTGCTGGTGGTGGTGTTGGTGTAGTGGTGGTGGTGGTGTTGGTGGTGGTAGTGAGTGTTGGGTGGTGGTAGTGAGTGTTGTTGGGTGGGTGGTAGTGAGGTGTTGGTGCTGGTGGTGGTGTTGAGGGTGCTGGTGGTGGTGGTGCTGGTGAGTGGTGTTGGAGTGCTGGTGAGTGAGTGTGGTGCTGGGTGGGTGGTAGTGAGTGTTGGTGCTGGTGGTGGTGAGTAGGTGTTGGTGCTGGTGGTGATGAGTGGGTGTGGTGCTGGTGGTGGTAGTGAGTGTTGGTGCTGGTGGTGAGTGGTGGTGCTGGTGGTGAAGGTGTTGGTGCTGGGAGTGAGTGTTGGTGGGTGGGAGTGAGTGTTGGTGCTGGTGGCGTGGTGTTGGTGGTGGTAGTGAGTGTTGAGGTGAGTGTTGGTGGTGGTAGTGAGTGTTGGTGCTGGTAGTGAGTGTTGGTGAGTGTTGGTGGTGGTGGTGGAGGTGAGTGTTGGTGGCGGTGGTGGTGAAGTAGGTGCTGGTGGTGAGTGAAGGTGTTGGTGTGGTGGTGGTGTTGAGTGAGGTGTTGTGGTGCTGGTGTGGTGAGTGAGGTGGTGTGGGGTGGGGTGAGGTAGTGGGTGTTGGTGGGGTGGTGGTGGTGTTGGTGCTGGTGGTGGTGAGTGGGTGTTGGTGCTGGTGGGGTAGTGAGTGTTGGTGGTGGTAGGTGGTAGTGGTGGTGGTGGTGGTGGTGG